CTCCACAGTTCATCCGTCACTTTGGCTTCTGTTTCTCCACAGTTCATCCGTCACTTTGGCTTCTGTTTCTCCACAGTTCATCCGTCACTTTGGCTTCTGTTTCTCCACAGTTCATACGTCACTTTGGCTTCTCCATGCGCTCTGCGGCGTTCCCGAACGCCAAGCTCCACCCACCACGACGCGGTGATGCCGACTTCATGATCCGCTCCCGTAAACTCAACTGTGCCGCCGACATGTTGCAGGATAATCTACGGGCAAAGGTAAATGATAACTTTTTTTCTCTCAGTGCAGGTCTTTTGTACGCCATTGACCATCAATAATTTATTTATAGAGGCCTCAGACATCCATGTCTAGATGCTGTTTTAACCTATTTTTCCTGTCTGTGGATAAATAATATTCTTTTGTCCTAGTTTTGTACACCCCTACTGACGAAGTTTAGATCATTTATGAACCGGGCCTTAAGAAGGTCTGTAACGTCTTAGTCTGTGACGGTCTGGTCTGTAACCATGTCTGTAATGTGGTGTTCGTGTCATGCATAATGTTGTTTTCGTCTGTAACGTTTGTTGTCTGTGATGTTCTTGTCATTTGTAACATTCTTGCCATCTATAACATTTGTTTCATCAGTAATGTTCTTGTCATTTTTAACCTTCTTGTCAACTAGAACGTCCTTGTCGTTTATAACGGTCTCGTCATCGATAAAGTTCTTGTCATTTATAATATTCTTGTCATTTATAACTTTCTTGTCATTTATAACGTTCTTGTCATTTATAACGTTCTTGTCATGTATAACTTTCTTGTCATTTATAACGTTCTTGTCATTTATAACGTCCTTGTCATTTATAACGTCCTTGTCATTTATAACGTTCTTGTCAGTTATAACGTCCTTGTCGTCTCCCCACCAGGTGGACTACCTGTGGGACGACCTCCGCCGGGAGTTTGTGAACATGGACCTGTACAACACTGGCTACGTGACTAATGAGGAGTTCAGAGAGGTTCTCACCGAGCTCTGTGTTAACCTGAGCAATGTGGAGCTGGAGCAACTTATCAACAAATTTGAGGTCAAGAAAGATGGCAGGTGGGTTAGGCTGTGGTTCTCTTGTTTGTTTAGGTTTGTCCGTCTGCCTGTGTGTGTGTTCACACACGTCTAATTGTTTGCTCTCCATTTCTCTTTTGTTTCTTTCTTTCTCCCTCTTTTTGATTTTCTGTCCTTCTTTCTCTGCGTCTCTCTGTCTCTATACCCTCTTTTCTCCGTCCCGCTCTCTCCCAGTCTCTCTCTTTCATTCCTTTTTCTTTCTTTCTTTCTTTCGTTTTCGCAATCTCTCTTGTTCGCTTTTGCTTCCCTCTCTTTCTATCTGCTCATCTATTACACCCTCTTTCTCTCTTGCCTGTTGTGTGTATGTGCACGTGGGCATGTGCGTGTGTGTGTGTGTGTGTGTGTGTGTGTGTGTGTGT